CTAAACCCCTAAACCCCCAAACACGAGACGAGGAGCCTGTGGCTCCGTTGGCGACGACTGACAAAGACACGGCTAGAGATCGTGAGGCACATGGCCGGAACAGTGGCAGCTTAAAGAGTGGACAGTAAGATTGAAAAATACATTGGGTCATTCAGGAAGCTTTGCCGGCAGTTCGTCAGACTGCGAGCAGTCCAACAACGCCCCAAAAGGACCGTTTGCAGCACAGCGTGGGGAAAAGTTGCAGGTTTGTGTTGCCTTCAGGACTCGGTTGGGAAGCCTTGCGAGACGAGTGCTGCGGAAACGCCGAAGAAGGAGCGAATGTAGAGTATTTTCTGATTTCTTTGACTTAAGTTGCAACCAGGTTGCGACACCGTGCGAGACGAGTGCTCCGACAAGTGCGACGAAGGACCGAATGCAACGCTCTTGTGGTGAGGGTTCAAGTTTCCGTTGCTGCCAGGAGGTTGCCAAGCTGGCCAAGACGAGTGCTCCGGCAGGCACAACGAAGGACCGACTACCGCAGTCGTGGTGAGGTTTAAGGTTGCTCTGTTTTGCAGATAGCACCATAGGAGGTTTCAGCAGCGCCGGCGACGAGTGCACCGACAAGCAGTACGAAGGATTGGCTGCATTAGCGGTGAGTGTGGAAGAGCTTCGGGTGTGCTTTGCAGTTCGTGCCTATAGGATCCCGTGGCAGCAGCAGACACAACCAGTGTGAACACTCCTGTCAAAGCCAAGAAGGACTGTTGGAATCGAAGTCTTTTGTTGGGCGAAGTTTTTGCAGTCGTTGTCTTTAGAGCTGGTGCTTTTCTCTGAGGACGAGAACCCGGACGTTGCCACACCTGTGTCTAAGAAGGCGGGAGTGAAACGAGTTGGGCGTGCTTTGGCAAAGTCGACGGCTAAGCGGCCGCGTCCTCCAGGGTTCGGGGGAGCTGTACAGAAAGCCACTTGTTGTAAAAACTGCGGAACGAAGAGGACGAGCTCTTTTCGTAACGCGCTTTGTCGAGACTGCGAGTTTGGCTTCCGTAGCCACGGCTGCCGTAGCGAGCAGAAGTGGACACCGGAGGTCTGTGCTCTTGTGCGTAAGGAGTCCGATGCCATGCGAAAGCAACGGGCAGTGGATTCCATGTCTTTCGGGGAGAAGCTGTTGCATCAGCAGCAGCAGGAGATCTTGGAGTTGCTGCGTAAGCCTGCGTAAGCAAGCCTGAGCAGCGGATTCCTTGTCTTTCGGGGAGAAGCTGCTGCATCAGCAGCAGCAGCAGCAGGAGATCTTGAGCCTTCGTAAGCAGGCCTGAGCACCGCGTTCACACTGGGGCTGGGGTGACGGAAAAGTGCAGATTACACAGCAAGGGGAGCCCTGAGGACAATGCTTGAAGAGAGATTGTGCGCATGATGTGAAATTTTATGTTGTGCAGGTGGCATTTGGCGCTAGCAGCGCGCTAGTTCCGCGCTAGTGAACTAGGTGCAACTTTGTCGCTTGGCACTAGTTGCCCAGTCCTCTGTCACGGAAGACTACACCTCAACAAGTTCGGAAGTTAGCGTTTCTAATGTTGTATAAGGTGTCGTAGAGCATGCCGCTATGGAGGAGCTACTCAGCCACTGCGAGCGCAAACGTCTGCGGAACCAAGGACGTGATGCGTACTATAGGCTTCACAGCCGAGACCCTTCGCTGGAACGTGCTGCCAAGGCCGCTCGAGGCGAGAACGCGCGGAGGCGGCAGCTAGATGATCATAAAAGGCAAGAATGCGCACGCCGCTTCATGCAGCTGCCTCCAGCGGAGCAGGTGCGTGTGTGCCCGGATTTCGCAGCCTATATTGCAGACACGAATAGGCGTGAAGAAAGTGATGTGGCACCGAATATAGCGGAGGCATCAAGTGTGCCGGAAGAGCATGAGATCGCAGAGCCACTTCTGGAAGCCGCTCCTGCCTCTTCGGCTAGTCGTCCACAGCGTGAGCGCGGTCTTCTTGCTAGGCGCCTTGCTCTTGGAAAGCGCAGTAAGAAGGTAGGCAGGAGTGCTAAGATGTGGTCACAAAAGGCTGGCCGATCGAGGCGCCGATTAGTTTTCCAAGTCATGCAGCTCCTCACACAAGCTAGCAGCTCTGCAGCGACCATGGCAACCATTCTTTCTGCAGTCCTTGAGAAGGCCTGTGCTCTCTTCCCAGGACTGGCAGGGGCTTTGGCTTCACATGGCATCAGCACGAGGTGTCGTTGTGGAAAGCTGGCAGATGTTTTGAAGAACATGGCTGGCAACCCAGAAATGAAACGTCGTGAGGACTGGCGCGTGGCTGTGGCTGGAGCAGTGCAGTGCGCTGGCTTCAAGAGCCAAAGGCAAGCCAAGACTGCTGGCATTGACATTGCTCGCAGGCCATGGAAGCTTGCAAAGCATGGCCGTTCTGAAAAGGCTGGCTTGCCAAAGCGTGGGCGGCCCAGCTTGTTGTCGAACCCAGAAGCACAAGCATTGGTCGTGAAGGCGGCGCTTCAAAATTCCAACGACAGCTCGAAGTTCATGATCGTCAACAAAGAAGTCAAGAGTGTGCGCCACTGGACTACCCTCCCGGCCGCAGTGTACACGCGATCGCAGGCTTTGATGAAGGCCATGTCCTACCGCACGTTCGTGCGGATACTGGCTCAGGAGTGCCCGCATGTCAAGCGCGGAACGAAGCTGACCGACTATTGCGACCACTGCCATGCTTTCTCATCTGTGATGGTTCCGCCCTTCGGCTCTTGTTACAGAAAGCCATTCCGAAAATGGGCAAGTGATGTGTAAACCCTAAACCCTAAACCCTTAGCTCTAAACTCGAAACCGTGCGTCTTGATCGAGAGTTTGTTTCTTGCAAGGAAAATGACGAGCTTCATCAATGAAATGCGGTCCACTCTATGCAATATCTACGCAGAGTACTTCCAGCATTTTGTCGCCCCGCGAGATGATGTGGTTGCAAGCACGCCCTCCAGGCACATTTGTGGAAAACCACCACTAAAACAAGCAAGACCGAAGACCTAAACGCATAAACCGCAGCTCTGAATCCCAAAGCTATCCCCACAGTACATGCGCCCTGCAGACTCTGCCACGCGTATCTCTTGTACCTCAACAAGCACACAGAAAAATATCGCGCAGAGCTGCAAGGGAAAGGCAAAAAGCGAGACTTGATCTTCCTGCTGCACGAACAAGAAGCCCGCTTTGAACACGAACTCCGCTGGATCAAGAAAGTCTTGCGGGCTTATGAGTTTCATCGTCAGTGCGCTGACCGCCAGCGAGAAGCAATCCACAAGGAGATTGAGGCCTGAATGTGGGAATACGTCGTGTGTAAAATTATGTAGCTTCCAATAGCAGACTTGGTTGCCTGTGACAGTATGTTTTTCCGGGGATGCTTTTCTATGAACGAACAGTCCAAACACAGCTGTTGCATTGGAGCTTTCCTCAGGAGTTAAAAGATGGCGAGCTACTTTTGTGGCTGGACTGGAAGCAAAACGTGACATTGCCTCTGTCTCACAAAAGCACAGGTGATGAATACTGGGCAAGCTCGAGGATGGAAACCAGCTTGCTAGGTGGCATTGCCTACGTTGGCCGCGCCGCAGGGCCACCCCGAAAGGTTGGGCTATTGTGGGTTTCGGATATTTTGGACCATACGGCAGTAGCAGCAGGATTGCAGATGCAAGAGATGATGACACGTTGCTTGGGCCCTCTGTCAAAGTTTACCCGTGTGTCTTTGTGGTTCGACACGGGACCGCACTACCGCACAGTGGACCTTTGGTCCTTCCTGGCCCAAGAGTGGCTGCTGAAGGAGAACAGGTTGGATTTGCTGTTGACAATATCTTATTTCACCGAGAAGCATGGGAAGGGCGAGGTCGACTCGCTTTTTTCTTGTTGCAACCAGTGGCTATGCAACGCAACCAGGAAGCCTGGCACAAGGCTCGAGAACGTGGACCAGCTCATTGATGCTTTGCGAGCGGGGGCAGAGCAGGACATGAGACAGGACCCACCGCCAAATGGCATGAAGTATGTCATCACGAAATGGGACACAGTCAAGAAGCCCCCCAACCTTTGGAAGGCCGACGCCGAGATCCAAGTGCGGAAAACATACTGCATCAAGCTCCATCTTGCCGGAGAGCGCAGACGAGTGGTATTTTGGAACAACCATCGTTTTTCAGACTGCTCGGACGGCGAGCGGTTCAGTGTTGCGCTGTCCAAGCCCCGAGTTCCTGCAGCGGACCGCTCTTGGCGTCGAGGGTATTATGGCACTGACAAATGGCGCAAGGCTTTCCCGGAGACGAACACCCGGAACACCATGGTCACCCGCTTGGAAGCTCTCGAGCCGTACTCGCGCTTAGAAGTCAGAGACTCGACTTCGCTTTTCGAGAAACGTGCAGCTCGCTACCTTGCCAAGCTGGCCGTGGGCAAGGCACGAAAGACACGCCGAAGGCGCCGCGTGCAAGCCCAGAGAGAGGCCGTGGATGCAAGCAGTAGCAGTAGCAGTAGCAGCTCCGATAGCTCTTCCAGCAGCAGCGACAGCAGCGAGGAGGAGTGAAAACCTCAAGTAACCCGCAAATCGGTGCATACTCCAACTCTCCTAATATCCTAATATGTTCATAAGCTCTGTGAAGAAGACTACCTTATTAGTATGCGCTAGTGCACTTTTCCCACGCTTCATCACATTTCATAAGTTGATACTACGGTTGAGCCAACCTATACTTTTCTCTTAGAGATGAGGCGGGGCCCGAGGGTACACGCCATTTCGGCCAGGTCGAGGC